AAAAAACTGAAGAAGATCTAAGTCAATGGAAAGACATTCATGATTATGGACCCAAAGAATTAATATTGTTGAGTTGGCAATATTCCCTGACTCAGTCTACAGATTTCATGCAAACCCCATCAAAATCCCAGGAGTGCTTTTTGTAGAATTTGGAAACTGATCCTGAAATACATGTGGAAATGCAAGAGACTCAAAATAGCAAAAAGATCACAATGATTAAGGCTGTGTGTGGGATTAAGAGTATGCCTCAGTGGCAAAGGTCTTATTTAGCATGTGTGAGCCCTGGGTTTGATTCCTGTTACTGTAATCAAAACTAAGCAAAACAAAACAAGAAGTGTGGTACCTGAATAAGAATAGACATATAGACCAATGGAATATAATTAAGAATCCAGAGATGAACCCTTTCTTTGATGGTGGATAGATTTTCAACCAGGGTGTCAAGACAGTTCAATGGGAATAAGAACAATGTATTCAACAAATGGTGCTGGGACAATTGGATATTCACATGCAAAATAATGAAATTTGACCCCTTCCTCACACCATATTGCACAAAATTAGTTCAAAATAGATCATAGACCTAAATGTTAAAGCTAAAATTACAATAACATAAACCATAGGTATAAGACTTTACCACTTTAGGTTAGGCAAAGCTTTCTTAGACATGACACCAAAAGCACAAATGACCATCGAAAAAATAAATAAATAAACTAGATTTCATCAAAATTCAAAACTGTGGTGTTTCATATGATACCAAGCAAGAAAATGAGAAGACAGAAAATGGGAGAAAATATTTACAAGTCATCTATTGCACTGGGGACTCACATCTAAAATGCATAAAGAATTCTTACAACTCAATAATAAAAAGAGAAATAACTCAATTTAAAAGTGGGTAAAGGCTAAGAACATATATTTTTCAAAAGAGATACCAGTTTATAATAAGCACAATGAAATATACTCAACATCAAGGAAATGAGAATCAAAACCATAATCAGATATCGCTTCACATATAGTAGAATGGATATAATTTAAGAAGTTAGATAATAGCAAGTGTTGGCAAGGATGTAGAAAAAGTAGAATTCTCATACATTGTTAATGAGAATACAAAATGTCCCATCCCACCTTGGGAAACATCCTTGTAGCTCCTCAAAATATAAAGCATTAAGTTACAAGATGTATAACATAAATTTACATCAATTGCAATTAACTGAGCATTTTTCTGCTCTCTGATCTACCTTATCTTCTATTCCTCTTCTTCTCTGGTCTCTTTAAACACTGAAAAGGCCATAATACAGAGGATGATGTTGGATGAGTGAAACTGTCACCTCTTAATTGCAGAAAACTCTAATTGGGGTCAAATTAAAATCCAAATCAAGTTTGTGGTTTTGATTATTACATAAGACTACTAAATATTTTAATTTCTTTTTCTTCTCCTCCTCCTCCTCTTTCTTACTTATTTATTTATTTTTTGCTGTGATGGGGCTAGAACCCAGGGTCTCAAGCATGCTAGGCAAGAGTTCTACCACATAGTTGCATCCCTGGGAAGAATATTTAGGGAAATATTTTAATTTCTAATTTGAAGGTATTTGTTAAATTAAGTGATCATAAGATTTTATTACCTAAGAGGGAGAGAGAAAGGATTTATTTCAGATTATAAATTCATATTGGGACATAACTTTCATGAGTGCTACTTTCCAACATATTGGTTACATATG